TTCCATGGGGAATTCATGCTTTATTTAAATTTAAAAAATTAAATTACTACACCATTTTAATTAATTAGTGTGTACTCCAGTTTTGCTTTGTAGAAGTTTCGTTAGTATACACTTCAGTTTTTACACATTGAATATATCTGCATATTTATATATTTACGCGTATCTATTTACATTTATTTATTACTTATAAAGCGATTTTTAATCTTCGTTGCTTAACACACATTTTTTCAATTACTTCTTGTGTTGTAATCGGCTTGTGTTGTAATAAACCATTCAGCCGATTCTTAATTGTATAAAAAGAAAGGACAAATAAGATAGCATATTCAACAATTGAGTGGTCCACTTGCAAAGTGCGCTATGTAAATTTTTTTTAGATTTTTAGTTTTTGGTGGGTTTCATGTACACTAACAGCAGAGTGAACAATTTTTCTATATTCTGAAAAAAATAGCATGAAATGTTAACTACTCTTGCAAAAGTCGCTATAATACTTATTTATACACTTTCAAATGTCTCCTCTTCGTATGAACTTAGAAAACTGCAAGAAAACATGGTAGTTTCGGTGCCTACACGGTCAAAAATTTGGTTTTAATTTTTAAACCGCGCTGGGACTACTTTCTTTTTTAATCTTTTATAGTCTACTTTTTAGACCAGTCAATAGTTTTAAGCAATTTTTAATATATTCTGGTTTAAATTTTAGTCCAAAAAGTTCGTGGTTTAAAAATCAAACTAAAATGTTTTAATTCTAGTTTCTAGGTTTCATATATAGAAAATTTGGCTTAAAATCTAAACCGAAATAGAAAATGTTTTCACACAGCAAAATGTGGTGTTGACTCAAACTCAACATATGAAAGCACATTTACATGTGCGGCTGTAGCTGAGTGTGCAAAGATGCTGATAGAATTGGTTGCTACCAAGGCTGTCCGGGTTCAATTCCCATCAGACGCAGCATGAAATTTAAGATTTTTTATTTTTTATTCTTGATTATGACAATGTTTGGATTTAAAATTTAAATCGAACTGTTTAAATTCTGCTGCTGTGCTCTCTTTTTTTTTAAACTTGGAAGGTTTGTATTTGAAACTGAATTTAGTTTGGTCATATATGTAGTCCAAAAATTAAAATTTAAACCGAAATTATTAACCGTGTAGTGGAAGAGATCGCAAAAAAGAAGCAAACCAATCTTCCTAGAGCAGAGAACGCGAAAAGCTCAAAAAAGCTAGCTATGTAAAAGTTACTGTTTCAAAACTTGCAATATTAAATTTTTAAATATAAAATTTGGAAATCAACCATACTGCAATTTTATTTTTTTAATGGTATTAGGCTCTTATTTTTTCAGATAATAAAAAAAGATACAGTTCGGATGTTACTTGTTGTGGTAGACGTTTTTTTTTTTTAATTTATGGCTTACTTTTATACCTACTTTTATACTTTTATAACGCTGTTTGCAAGTGGACTACTCATATATTCATTAAAAGATAATTGGTCATCCGTCTGAAATAAAAAAAATGTTAAATCAGAAGGATAAAATAGTATTGTGTTATTAATTCAAAAGTAAATAATTGTAGTTCAATGACGAGGGGGGTCTATCCCCCCAAATCCCCCCCTGGCTACGCCACTGTATGAATGTATGCTTGGCATTTAGACTGAATTGGTATATTAGGGTGGTCCTTAAAAATCAAACCCCCTCAATCGGTAATACCACGGTCATAGATATCACATATAAATTTTGGTTCCGATTGGGAACTTTTCATTATTTATCAATAGTTGATAGATGATCCACATAAGCAACAACCCGGAGCTCTTTCTCCCAAGAGTGTTGAATAGCTCGTTCACAAAAATGTACCCAAAGTGAAAGGAGTCCCCTTGTGTAGTACCTCTACTCACACTTCTCTCAATAGATGCCCTCACTACTAGTATCGTCACTTTGTGTCTTCATACGTGGTGAAGCCTTAAAGGCCAGCTGCATATTGAAAAGAAACGGATGTTGGTATAACACTGAGAGGACGAGGCGGAAATTACTGGCGGCAGAGATTTGAGCACTAGTGCCACAGGACTCGACTTAATTATGTTGGCAAGCTTGCTCTACTCTGGGTGCCAGGTCACTGGGAAGTACCTGGTAATGAGACATCTGATCATTTGGCTAGAGTTGACTTAGACCAGTCACTCACTCCCACATTCGTCGATCGAGGCCACCATCAGAAACTAAGTGATTACTTCTCTCAGCATTCACTGGGAGGCATCGAGGGGCTGCCGGTGGACAAAACTCAAGTTGACTTCAAGCTCTGAAGGTCAAACTAGTTTTTTGCTCTCATTGAGCAGATCGGACTGCTTACTGGTCACTTTACGTGCGAGAAGAGTTCGTGACAGCTCTTTTCGTGCTTCTGTCTCGCCTTTGGCCGCAATATCTTGAGAGATGAACACCTGAGCTCTTTAACACTCTACAATCTGCTTAGGTTTATTCGTAAGTCGTTTTAGATATAAAAGAGAGCTCTCAAGAAAACGGTCAAGAAAAAAATTGTCATTATTTCGTATGTGTGTGTGTCCTAGGATTTTTGACAACTGATACTTCAGTAGCCTGTTGCCTCGCCCCTTCCTCAAGAAATAATGGAACGGGC